TTTAGAATATAAGGACATGCCGCAATTGGTCATTTGAAATACCATTGAACGTATAACTTTTGATGAGTTATTTTCTTCCCACACCACCGTAGATAGGACATGGTTCCCCTGTGGTAGGGTTGGTGACTGTGTATTCACACCTGTCTTTGTGAAATTCCACCTCACACTCAGCCGGATAGTGAGTAGGCCTTGGAGCCCTGAAATATGAAACAATGTAAAATAGTCAGTAAATTATGATTATCAATTATTCAATAGTAATAAAATGTACATTATTGAATTTCCTGATTTATTATACAACAACAACTAACCTGCATATACAATACGCCCTGGGTTCTCATTAGACAACAAAGTGTCATAGGCATATACATCACAACCTGGGTTCTCTGTGGACACAAAGTGTCATATGCATATACATCACAACCTGGGTTCTCTGTGGACACAAAGTGTCATATGCATATACATCACACCCTGGGTTTTCATTGGACAACAAAGTGTCATATGCATATACATCACACCCTGGGTTTTCATTGGACAACAAAGTGTCATATGCATATACATCACATCCTGGGTTTTCATTGGACAACAAAGTGTCATGTGCATATACATCACATCCTGGGTTCTCATTGGACAACAAAGTGTCATATGCATATATATCACATCCTGGGTTCTCATTGGACAACAAAGTGTCATATGCATATAAATCACATCCTGGGTTTTCATTGGACAACAAAGTGTCATATGGATATACATCACACCCTGGGTCTTCATTGGACAACAAAGTGTCATATGCATATACATCACACCCTGGGTTCTCATTAGACAACAAAGTGTCAAATGCATATACATCACATCATGAGTTCTCATTGGACAATAAAGTGTCATATGCATATACATCTCACCCTGGGATCTCATTGGACAACAAAGTGTCATATGCATATACATCACATCCTGGGGTTTCATTGCACAACAAAGTGTCATATGCATATACATCACACCCTGGGTCCTCATTGGACAACAAAGTGTCATATGCATATACATCACATCCTGGGTTCTCATTGGACAATAAAGTGTCATTTGTATATACATCACATCCTGGGTTTTCATTGGACAACAAAGTGTCATATGCATATACATCACATCCTGGGTTCTCATTGGACAACAAAGTGTCATATGTATATACATCACATCCTGGGTTTTCATTGGACAACAAAGTGTCATATGCATATACATCACACCCTGGGTTTTCATTAGACAACAAAGTGTCATATGCATATACTTCACACCCTGAGTTCTCATTGAACAAATAAATGTCATATGCATATACATCACACCCTGGGTTCTCATTAGACAACAAAGTGTCATATGCATATAAATCACATCCTGGGTTTTCATTGGACAACAAAGTGTCATATGGATATACATCACACCCTGGGTCTTCATTGGACAACAAAGTGTCATATGCATATACATCACACCCTGGGTTCTCATTAGACAACAAAGTGTCAAATGCATATACATCACATCATGAGTTCTCATTGGACAACAAAGTGTCATATGCATATACATCACACCCTGGGTCCTTATTGGACAACACAGTGTCATATACATATACATCACACCCTGGGTTTTCATTAGACAACAAAGTGTTATATGCATATACATCACACATTGGAAACTCATTGGACAACAAAGTGTTATATGCATATTCATCACACCCTGGGTTTTCATTGGACAAGAAATTGCCACATGCTTATACATCACACCCCGGGTTTCCATTGGGCAACAAAGTGTCATATGCATATACATCACATCCTGGGTTCTCATTGGACAACAAAGTGTCATATGCATATACATCACATCCTGGGTTCTCATTGGACAACAAAGTGCCATATGCATATACATCACACCCTGGGTTCTCATTAGACAACAAAGTGTCATATGCATATACATCACATCCTGGGTTCTCATTGGACAATAAAGTGTCATATGCATATACATCTCACCCTGGGTTCTCATTGGACAACAAAAAGTCATATGCATATACATCACATCCTGGGTTTTCATTGGACAACAAAGTGTCATATGCATACACATCACATCCTGGGTTTTCATTGGACAACAAAGTGTCATATGCATATACATCACACCCTGGGTCCTCATTGGACAACAAAGTGCCATATGCATATACATCATCCCCTGGGTTTTCGTTGGTCAACAAAGTGTCATATGCATATACATCACACATTGGAAACTCATTGAACAACAAAGTGTCATACGCATATACATCACACCCTGGGTTTTCATTGGACAACAAAGTGTCATATGCATATACATCACACCCTGGGTTTTCATTAGACAACAAAGTGTCATATGCATATACATCACACATTGGAAACTCAATGAACAACAAATGTGTCATATGCATATATATATCACACCCTGGGTTTTCATTGGACAACAAAGTGTTATATGCATATGCATCACATCCTGGGTTCTCATTGGACAACAAAGTGTCGTATGCATATACATCACACCCTGAGTTCTCATTGGACAAACAAATGTGTCATATGCATATACATCACACCCTGGGTTTTCATTAGACAACAAAGTGTCATATGCATATACATCACATCCTGGGTTCTCATTGGACAACAAAGTGTTATATGCATGTTCATCACATCCTGGGTTCTCATTGGACAACAAAGTGTCGTATGCATATACCTCACACCCTGAGTTCTCATTGGACAAACAAATGTGTCATATGCATATACATCACACCCTGGGTTCTCATTGGACAACAAAGTGTCATATGCATTTACATCACACCCTGGGTTTGTTAAATAAATATGCAAATTAAGTAATATGAGCTGTAATTTAATTCATTAAACAAGCGGAAATGAGTTCAGTAATGAGTAATATATAATAGAAGATATATGTTTGGCAAATTCCGCTGTGTCCTATTACTGTCCAGGGTCTAAATGGAACATCCATACACAACAGTTATTAGAGGCATTTACAATTGGTTTCAATGGTCTTATTTCGACATTTTAACGGTAACATAATTAGTTAAAAGAAGCACATTTGTCACAAATTGAAAGCCTTAAAAACACATGGATTTTGTTCATTAAATATTGCTATTGAGATATTTCCAAAATGTTTATTTTTAAATTGAATGCCCGTGAAAGACCACATAACATACACAACTATAAATATTTTCATTTGATGGTGTCTGGTGCGGGTGGCACTCTGCCCGATTACGTCAGTTACTCGGAGGCTCGTTCGAGTTTGAGTTCATAACGCACACTACCATGCACCGACGGTATTGTGCACCTAATCTAATGCCAAATGGGTAACAATGTTTTCCGTGAATTCGCGGTGGTTAGAACCCAAATATGGAGCTGTCATATAGTTGATTATTATACCTCATGACCATGCCAGCCAATCATATTCGAGCATTACAGCTAGACATACTAGTATTCTACCTGCTGACCTATTCGTCCGGGTACCTTCCTCCCGAATTTAACTGATTCACGTTAATTACTTGTCAAGGGAACGCGAGACGCGGCAATAATTATGAATATAATTAGTTTGCCAGGTTTGTATTCAGTATTCGCTTCGCTTTGGTTGACAATGAGTTCTGCAGGTCGTTAAAACTGTATGGGCAACCTCTGTTGTATAGTGATAAATATATATGTGGGGAACGAACTTGGTGATTATTACACGAACGATAAAACAAATTGTGCACGTCATGTGATACTGAGATTAATACTGATCTGGCATCAACCATTAAAGCGGGAGGGTCGACACCTGCGCACGCGCGGGAATTGAGTCCCAAGCAAAGATAACATGGTAGGCGATTGTTTGTAAGCAATGACACGTTATGACTATCTGAAGCGTGCGCAGGTGACGACTCCCCCGCTTTAAGGGTGAAATATCATGTTAACTTACAGGGAGCAACAGCTTTCGTATTCTCCACCATTATAAGTGCATTGATAGCAATCGTCTTGGTAAGTGTCCCCAGGTTTACAGTGAGCTAGAATGGCAAAAAAACAACACAACCAAAGATGGATATCATAAATGAAGTTCGCAGTGTCTACGTCTATAAAGTCTGGAATTGCAATGTTATTATCGTATCATCGTATGTCCATAATTAAAATATATTAATGAAAGACCATAATATGTATTAGCTCAATTCATACGAATAGATGTATTAATATAACACTAATAGATTGTGATTCAAACATAATCGCACACACACATTATTGTGTACTAGTATGTACAAATTACGAGCTAACTCGGATTGGAGATTGTAAAACTCAGATTGGTTCTGAACTGGAGATATAGGACTCTGTGCGACGTCCGCTACACTACCAGATACGTTTTTTAACATTATACGTCGACGATACTCTGGATAAAAGTCTTTAAATCATGCAATCGAAACTGCATTTTATTGTCTGCATATACTTAAAGCGCGGTGGTCGTCGCGCAGCGCGTGTTCGAATTTCATGTAAATAAACAATGTAATTTATATGCGGTGTATACGTCGCTATGAGTCCCATATCGAGCAGGACGCGGTACGACTGCCGTCTTTTAACTGTTTCAGAACAAATGTGGACAGAAATCCATTTTTTTACGATATAAATATCAATATATTTATATTTGCACCCGAAAAGCAACTTTGGGGGGACTTGACCAGCTTGAAATGTACTATTTATATTAGCTATATTTGGGGGAAAATTAGTCCCCCGTAAATAAACGTGAAACATACCTGGACGTATCATGCATTGGCCGCGACAGAGTACGACAATGACCGCCGCCAAAACTACTATTAACACGGTCTTCATGTTGAGTGTATAACTGATGATCGTGACAGGAACGATACAGTGTTACAGCTAGCTTGTTCAGTGTTGGAGTTTTTGAATGCCCTGAACGTGACAGCATTTCACGCTCTGTCTCTTATAGATATACGACTACTAAATAATATGCAATTACTCATTAAATAGTTAAACGAACGGGAAATGGGTTGACGGTTTGTTTACCATAACAATCGACAATGTCCTGGACTCCTGCGTCGAATTACATTCATTTGATAGAACATTTCTTTGTTTGATTTAGACTTCTTCAGTTCAGCTTTAATTCACCGGACGAGTAGTAATGTTTGCTTTGAAAGCAAATTGATTCTCTTTACTCAAATTACCCCCGTGGAAATGATCTACAGCCTCATTATCAACACGCCCTTGGAAATGAAAGAATATAATTACACAGCTTTAATTACAAAATAGACCATAATTTGTGCAAATGGTGACATTCGAGTGTAAAGTTTCTTTTAAATAGTAGAATTATTACCGCGAATTCAGTAAAACGTGATAAAGTTTTCATATTCTCCGGTAGTTAGGCTGAATTCACTGAACCACACGCTGAGTTTTCTCATTGTCGATGGCCTTGTTCAATAGGATGTAGTAATTTTATGTTCTCTCTGTCATTTTGTAAATAAGGGTGTTAATTACATTGAATATCTGTGCCATGAATGAATATCAGTTAATATAACAAGTAGTATAAAGTATTGGATTGGTAACGGTCTGACTGGGTAATATATGGTCTATCATTGTATACGTAATGGGCTGACTGGGTAATATATGGTCTATCATTGTATACGTGACGGACTGACTGGGTAATATATGGTAAATCATTGTAATTGTGACGGACTGACTGGGTAATACAAGTATATAGTCTATCATTGTATTTGTGACGGACTGACTGGGTAATACATGGTCTATCATTGTATTCGTGACGGACTGACTGGGTAATATATGGTCTATCATTGTAATTGTGACGGACTGACTGGGTAATATATGATCTATCATTGTATTTGC